ACAGCACGTGGTCTGACATTCTGTGAGATGCGAGGCGAGAGGGTAGAAGCTCTCGCGGAGTGTCATCCTCCCTCAAAAAAGAACAAGAGGCGCAGACAGACCCGCCTACACCACCCGTTGAGACTATACAGCGGGGAGTTGATACCCGGGAATTGTCAAAGACAACGGTAGCCACTCAGACGGGGAATGAGTTGGTGGGAAGAGAAGACTGGGAACTGTCAAAGACAACGGTAGCCACTCGGACGGGGAATGAGTTGGTGGGAAGAGAAGAAAGAGGGAGGTCCGTTGTAAGGCGGGAATGGGAGATATAAAAGGGGGGTGGACGTAATACCAGGAGGTTGGGAAATGATATGGGTAGAGGACCCATGGACAGGAAAATGGGAGAAGGTGCGGGTCCCTAAGGAAGAAGCTGATTACAGATGGAGGAGGGGGCTGTCACCGTGTCCTTCCTACTGGGGTGAGTCGGAAGCCAGAGGGTGGCGCAGGCCCATCAGGGAAGAGAAGGAGGCGGTAGAAAGGGAAGAAAAGGAACGCAGGTTATGGCGTCTGGAGGAAGCCCAGAGGAGGGGACACCTGATGGGCTGTGGGCCCCTCTTCGAGGAGAGGAAGACCCTTATGAGTCGGAGGGGTGAGATGAAGAGACCACCCCGTTATTAAACCCTGAGCCAGGAGCTGTTGAGATGGAAAGCAGTAACCCGTTTGCGAAGGGACCTTGGAATGACTCAAACTGTAACCCCTTTAATAAAGATGTTTGGATGCCCTCGTGGGACCCGTTGGTGATGAGAGACAATGCAGAAGTTGAGTTTGGGCATACAGACTTGCTGTGACATGTTCCAATAAAACATAGTTATGATTTTCCAAAGCGAGGGTCCCCAGTGTTTCTGTTGAAACCAGAGGAGGTAAAATTTGAACCCTCACACATTCATGCTAGACAAAGAAATTCAAACTTGCCTTACAATATACATGGTACACTTTTGCATCTAGAGAAACAGATTTCACATACAGCAGACATACAGCCATCCCATGTTAGGTCTTCCTCTTTTCCTACTGCCCCTCCAACTTTTCCCAGCAATATTGTACTTTCTGGTCAGTTATGTACAGTGGTGCCTCGCTTAACGGGCGCCCCGTTTAAAAACGAATCTACATAGCGATGGCTTTTTTGCGATCGCTTTTGCGATCGCATTGTGATGTTGCCTATGGGGAAAAATTGCTTTGCGATTTTTCCCCACAGCCCCATTTTCCCCCAGCTGACCGGCGGGGGCTTGGGAAGGACTGCAGGGGAGCCCTCCCCCGCAGTCCTCGCAAAGCCCTAGCCGGCATTTTTCCCCAGCTGAGCAGCGGGAACTTCCGAATCTGGTGATTTCCATGTATAGAGTCACCTCTTGTGTTGTTGGAAAAGAGTGTTTGTGATGACCAGCTTGTTCTCTTGACAAAACTCTATTAGCCTTTGCCCTGCTTTGTTCTGAACTCCAAGGCCAAACTTCCCTGTTGTTCCTTTTATCTCTTGACTCCTGACTTTACCATTCCAGTCCCCTAGAATGAGAACATCTTTCTTTGGTGTCACTTCTAGAAGGTGTTCTAAGTCTTCATAGAATTGGTCTATTTCAGCCCCTTCAGCAATGGTGATTGGTGCATAAACTTGGATTATTGTGATGTTGAAAGGTCTGCCTTGGATTCGTATTGACATCATTCCATC